TAGATATAAAAAAATTTGTTGAATTCTAAATTATATGTGTAATATTAGGTTGTTGAAACAGATTTGTGTAATCTATGTCAAAGTACCTGAGAAATTAAATATGGATTTTTTTGTAATATATGGATATATTTTAAGATTCTGGCACTGGCTAAACAATTAGATTGGTCTGAACGACAAGTAGAAAGATGGTTGCGATTAAGACGTACTCAAGATAAGCCATCAACACTTACAAAATTTTGTGAAAACAGGTTAGTTTCATTATAAAGTATACAACACCACTTTTTAAGTGCACTTAAAATATAGGACTTCAAAGAAATAAAACTTGTATTGAATTATACATAAATAGATATTGTATTATTCCTAACTGTTTAATACATTCTAAGTTCTTTTGTTGCAGCTGGCGATGTTTGTATTATACTTATTCATTTTTCTATGGACTTATTTCTTTATGGAATAAGCCATGGTTATGGGATATAAACCATTGCTATTATAATTATCCATATCATCCAGTTTCAAGTGATGTATGGTGGTATTATATGATATCAATGGCATTTTACTGGTCACTAAGTTTTTCTCAATTTTTTGATGTAAAAAGAAAAGATTTTTGGCAAATGTTTATTCATCATATAGCTACAATTATATTAATGTGTTTCTCATGGGTTGGAAATTTGACTAGAATTGGCACATTAGTATTGTTAGTACATGATTGTGCAGATATTTTTCTAGAAGTAAGTATAAGCATTAATGCATATCCAACTATTAAACATGGATACACACACAGAGTGACCCATTGTAATCTATAAATGATAATATTTCGGAAATTACGTTGAACTGAAAACCTACTTTTGGAGAATTAAATAAGATGGAGGGGACATTAGTACATGCAGATGTAAGTTCGCTAAGATCCTGAATTCGTAAGATCGTGTCATTTAAAACAATCCACCTGACCCTGAAATGACCTTAACGCTTGCATTTAGCGAACTTACAACTGTACATACTAGTGTTCTCCTCCATCTCATTTAATCCTCTGAAAATAGGTTTTCCAATTTAATGTAGTTTCCGAAATATTAGCATTTATATATTAAAATAGATCACGCTGTACATATATGTAATACAATAATATTATATTTTATACTTTTGTGCTGTGTGTATGTGTGTAAAATATACATGTTTATTTTAGGCTGCAAAAATGGCAAAGTATGCTAAGTACCAAAAATTGTGTGATTGTATATTTGTTATTTTTACAATACTGTGGATTATCACACGTATTGGTGTTTATCCATTTTGGATAATTTATAGGTATGTTCCATTCATATTAACCTTTAATGTATTCTAGTATAACTAAAAATCATTTATCTTATTATTTCAAATATATTAAATATTACAGCACATCAATAGAGGCACCTAAGATAGTGCCCATGTTCCCAGCATATTATATTTTCAATTCTTTACTAATTTTATTGTTATTTCTTCACATGATTTGGACACATTTGATTCTTAAAATTGCATACAATGCGTTTTATGCTGGTCAAGTAAGTGATATTAAAATCATATTTCAAGTGTAATTGTAAAGTATGTTTAATTTTAAATGTATGCATACAATTTTCCAGATGGAGGGTGATATTCGTAGCAGTAGTAGCGAAGATATTTCAGATGCCTCCATAGATAGTACTTCATTAAATAATTCTACAAATTACATTAGCAAACAAAATTCCAAACAAAAAATTCACTAACGAATAACTTTTCGGGAAAAGTTATTGTAACAGTAATAAGGCAAAAAAATCAAATATTTAGTCAAGCGCTAATTTATTTCAGTAAATTTAATAAATCTTTGCATTTATTGTAGCATGATAACTAAAAACCCTAACTTTGATAAAGTTATAAAAAAAGTCATTGACCTTTGAAACATTCACTTTCTTTACCTATTAATATTTTTTTTAATAATTTAGCGCTTTTATAGTCATTTAATTTTTTCATACATTAAATACGCATTCATTATTCTTCATATTGTTACGCAGAATGGAGCGAACATTGAAACTATGAATTATTTTTTTTTTGTTATTAATTATATCATTTAAGCATATGTATTTTATTTAACAACTTAGGAAATGGTATTTCTTTTTTTGAAGTAAATTTTGATTATTTAACCAAACAAATAATGTACCAAAGTTTGAAAACATTCAATATTCGTAATTTCTCAACCTTTCCAAATCTTAGTAATTTATTATGCTTAACAAGGTTTATTTATTCGCATACATTTACAAATGCTAAGTGGTATTTTGAAACATTTTTAATTATGGATATTAATAATAATATTTGTAAT